TTTTCCTTTCCTTTTTTTTTTGGTCTTGTTCATTCTCTTCCACCCTGTCCTGTTTATCAATTAATGTGGAATAGCTATATCTCAATAAAAATGTCAATTAAAATATTTTTTTTTACCTAGTAATGCAAATTCTACTGAGTATTCTATTGCTTCCTCCTATGCCAGGTAAAGAACTCTTCTAAAAAAGTAAGCATACAAACTAATGGGCATATGCGAGCAAAATGTAGCGTGCCACCCTTACAACAGAAGTGTGAGAAGCAGCCTGGAGAATGAGGCCTGCTTGTCCAGAATGAGATATTACTGCCAAAACATTCCTTGCCCAGATAGAATGCCCCTCAAAAAAAGGAAGAAAGATATAGGACCTGGTCGGGATTGTAGGAAGAAGGCACTCCTGTTTAACCAGCTGCCTTTGGTCTTATATGTAAATACATCTTCAACTGATCTTAGGCCCAGATGCCTGTTTCACAGTGAAGATATACTGTCCAAATCTAATGGAACTGCTGTAGTAAACAGGCACCTTTGTGCTTACAAGACAGCATATTGCTTATTTTCTTCTCCTCTTTGGCAACTGGATAAACTTCAAACACCAAGAGAATTGGAAATCTATGGCCAAGACATCACAAAAGTATTCTTTATCATCACTTGACCCCACTACCTGATGATCCAAATCAGAAAAGGAAAACAAAGGCTAAAGAAGGGATAGAAATTTTCCAGTATGAAATCCAAGTTCCCTATTCAGGACCCACTGGCTTTTCTATTTCCATATATAAAGAGAGAACTGGGCCCAGCTACAAGACTGATGACTCAGTGACTATGCTACAAAGGTCCCAGCTTCTTTTTCCCTCATACACTCAGTCCAACATTGACTCATTTTACCATGAAAAGGAACTATTCCAGAGGTTGGGCTGGGTCAGGGAGAGGTGCCTCTTGGAAGGGAAGAAGTACTGCCCACTCTTTTTGGCCTATCCACAGTGATGATTCACAGCCTCCTGCAAGTAACGACATCTTACTGTTTGACTACACCACATATTACATGACAAATCCTTTATTTTTGAGAATTGTGTGATATCTTTTGGGGTGTTGGGGAATACCGCATTTGTAGTCAGCTCAGGGTGGGAAGGATGAATATCGGTCCTTCAAACCCCGCTTTATTAGTACTTTATGCTAAGCATTCTCTCATGACTAAGTAACAATGAAATCAAAGTAAAAATATTCTCCACCTTTCAGAAACCAGTCAGGTGTGAAATACACAAAATAGATGGAATGAATTATATTCCAATTTTGACTTAAATTATCGTGATATTTCCCGTGAAGACTGAAGATGGATGGGCCTATTTTGCAGACTGATGATGAAACTATTCTGATTTTTTGTTCCTGCTAAGCTGTCAAGGAGAAAGTACACAAATGCTACCAGTCTCCAATAAGAAAACAGAAACAAAGAACGGCTTCTGCTCTGAAAATCAAGCTTCATTGCTGAGGCTCAAAAACATGGCTCATGCGCTATAGGAGAAGTTCAGGGGGAGCAGGTCAAGAATACATCAAGAGGAGAGCTTTGTGGCCCACTAGGTATTCCTAGGAACAGGCATTATTTATTTCCTCCCTTAAATTAAGAGCTTTTGTCCCACTCAACAGTTTCCTTTTGGAAATCTTCCAAAGATCCAGTAAAAGAAGATGGATCTCCTTCTTGCCTCCTTCTCTAGTTCCACAGTGAGTCAAATTGCTCGGCCATCACCTTAAAACCAAACAGCTGTAGAAAAAATGAAACCCACACTAAACTTGCAATGAGAAAAATCGGGCTTTGATTTTTAGCTCCGAAACACCGAATTAAATGATCTCTGGCACCTCTCATTTCCTCTAGCTGTTTGGCCACCTGTACACTTGAGACAAAAAGATCTGTGCCTTTCCTAGTTTGCATGAAGAGTCAGTAGGATGATAGATTTGAAAACACATGGCACCTGGTGGACAAAACAATAATAGTAAAAAATAACAGAAGATCAATTACAAGTGAAGTGCTCACATTTACTTAGTCTAGGCCTTTGGCAGGGTTCTCTGGTGCTGTGAAGTTGCCAGCATCACCCTCCATTATATAATTTCAAAACCTTAGAGTCAGATTTGATTTAACAGTGTGTCATATGGGAAATGGAAATAACTGAGTCACTCGACCTAGGAACAGAATGTGTAACGGGGTCTGGTCTCTGGTCTTAAGAACCCTGAAGAAATACTATGGAAGACAGAGCAGATTGCTTTGGGTGACCCCAGGAAAATTGAATAGGACAAACTCCACGGGAATGAAATTTAGTTTAAACAGAAGGAAAAAAAAAAAAACTTTAAACAGTAAAGGTTTTGCCTGAAGGGGATGGGTTTTCTAATACTAAGGACATTCTCTCTACAAGTGTTGATACAGAGGCCAGCAAGGACGCCTTAAGGTAGAATCAACTAGGGGGAAAAAGCAAACACGATTTATAAATGTTTACTATGTGTCAGGGACACTGCTAGATCCTCTACAGGGATTCTCTCTGACTCTCTTTTTCTCAAAGTAGCTGATATCTATTTGCTTTTCACACTCTTTTTAAATTAAAATTTTTAATATAGGGAATATATTTTGTGCATTGCATACGTACCATTGACGACAATCTACCATACAATCTATCATGCAATCTATCATATCTATCTTCCCTCATTCCCCTCCAATACCCTTTCCTCCCTTCCCTTTTAATCCTCCCAAGAACACTACTACTATCCACTACTGTTCCTTTTTATCAGAGTCAAAAACTGTGGCCCAAACAAATTAAATATTTCTCATTGGATTTACTACTGATGCTACAGGTAGGTGGCTAGGAAGAAGAGTTCTATGTTATTAAGCTTGTTGGCACCAACCACAGCATCGCCTCAACCTTTGCTTCTAAATGCTCTATGGAAATACCGATCTTGGTTGGGAATACCAGATGCATACCGTGTCTAGAATGACAGGAAGCAGGCAAGTAACAGACCTAGGACCCAAAGACAGTTAAGTTGAATTCAGAAGGTCAGCATCACTTCTGTTGCATCATTTCCAGAAGTTGGAGCCAATCCCCAGATTCCAATTCTCATTCTCTTTTCCAATAAAATACTTTCAACGTCTACAGATTCAACTTGTGTGATGTTTTAATTAAACCAGTGACCTCTTCCAATTGCCCTGACCACGCCTCAGTTTCAGGGCCTTGTCCCGTTGCTGCATCTAGTTTATCCACTTCTGGTGTTTTCTTGTTCCGTTCTGCCTGACTCACACTTACCAGATTCTTTTTCCTAAAGCACAGATCTGACCTTTCCTTCAGTTCAGAAATTCTCAACAGCTTTCACCGCAAAATCAAATCAAAACTGGGGAATCCGAAGCCCTCTGTGGTTACCACCAATCCACAAGGGCAAGTCTAACTTCCTCCTTCCCCCTAATAGTACTCTAAAATCCAGTTCAGCTGGTATTCTTTTCACATGTTTGGAGCTTCCCTGCCTTCCAGCAGTTGTTCCTGTTGTTTTCTACGCTTAAATTGCCTCCTCTCCCATCTCCACCTGTTGAAATCTTATCTGTGCCCATAGTCCATCTCAAATAATAATAGTTAACATTTATTGAGTGCTTATTTTGGGTCAACCCCTGTGCTAAGCATGTGCAAATATTTCTCGTGGATTATCTCATTTAATCCTCACAACAACCCGATGAGGTAAGAGCTATTATTATCTCCACTTTGGCCGAGAGAGTTAACTGAAGCTCAGCAAGAAGGAAGTAATTCCAATTTGTCCAAGGTCACGCAAATTAATAATAGGATCTGAACTCAAGAAGTTGGGCTCTGGAACTCTGGTAAAGGTGATCATTTCAACAGACAAAATTAAAAAAAAAAAAAAGAAAAAAAGAAAAAAAAAGCTTTTCTGATTTTCTTTTGCTCAATTTGATAGATTCTACTGGACAACCTCAGCGCATTTTGACTGCACCTGTAAAGCCTCTTTCATATGAGATTTATCTGCATTCTTACATACCCATGATGACTTTGCCTCCCTTAAATGAGCACAGCCTATTTTAGGTATCTCATTATTTCACACATGATGGCCCCGGCAGGTGCTCACTGAGTCTCCCGTATTTCATTGAGGGATTTCGGAGGGGAAGGAGAGAGTTATTATCTATGGGAGATGCTCCATACTTTCCCATTTCAGCCACTCTGCACGACATTGGCCCGCGCCATCAGCACCTGTCCAAACCAGAGGCTGCAGCCTGTTTTCCCAGTCAGGATTCTGGCGGGTCTCTTCTTGTCCCTCAGTTCTCACAGCTGCCTGGGTCTTGGCCAGTGTTTGGGTGAGGCAGGATCAAAATATCACTGCCCTGTGCTCAGCTTCCAGGAGTGAGGGATCAAGTGAAACCCAGCCTGGCTTGTGAGGGGGTGGATTGAAAGCCCCCATACAGAGGCAGCCAGAGGGCTCTTCATACAAGCCCTGACTTGCCCAAGAGCCACGTGGGTGGGCCTGCATGCAGTTCAGCTTCCCTTGCCTGCTCCGCATGTCTGACCCACACCCAACTTCCCTCCCCTGAATCTCAGGCTCTTTCTCTTTCTTTATCTCCCAACAGCAGATGCTCAAAGTAGTGGGACACGTCCGGGCATGTTCCCAGACGCCACCAGGCAGGAATAGCCTTTACAGGCAGGAACTAACATTCCGAGGCACTAAGGGCATCTCGCTCTGTTCCTGACATCTCAGACAGACAGCGCTCTCTGGACACACAGACAGACTGATAGATGCCCGTGGGGGTACCTTCCCAGCCTCTCTCTAACACCCTAGCAGGGACAGCCTGCTGAAATTCTGTACATCCTCTCTATGGTCTCAGCTTCCCAAGAAGTATTCCCAGACTTGCCGGTATTGGATGCTCAGGTGGATTTTGCCACAACGAAATTCTGAAACCAAAGCACCCTCAGTACAGATAAGATACGCCACCCGAGTCTCATCTCTCAGCCCCCTCCCACTCAGCACATCATACTCACAGTCGATGAAATCCGTTGCAGTTAGAAGTGTGTTTGACTCATTTCATTTCCATCCACGTGTAGTGACAACAGCCCCCAAACCAGCCCCTCTAATTGCTATCAAGCTACGCCTACTTTCCCCGCCCCCGTGAGAATCCTAGAACCATTATTGGTCTACTTAGTTTATCTAGGCGTGGCTATGCAAAGAAACCCCGCCCCTGAAAGGGACACTGTGAGTCTGGGGGGTTAACGGCGATCTTGCCGCTGGTAAGGCAGCAGCCCAGAGGCTCTGGGGACTGAAGCGGAGGCGAGAGGGCAGAAGGCCAGGGAATTGAGTCCAGCCCAGTCTGTGGGAACAGAGGGAGTGTCAAGTGGTTGGAAGCACTGTGTACATTTCGTTTCTTGAGTCTTTCACAGTTGAATGCAGCTCAGCTCATCAAAATTTTGTGCATGAGTTAGCAGACTTGTACTTTGACAAAAAAAAAAAAAAGTTCATGTTGGGAAACAGGAATTTCAGACACACTGGAAAACCACTTCCCAGCTCTGGCCCTGTTGTTGTTGTTGTTTTTCCATTGTTTTCTTTTGTTCTGTTTTATAATCCTCCAATCGGAAGGGAGGTGGGATTTTAATGAAGGAGGAGAGGAGAAATTAACCAGGGGGGAACCACTTATGAAGGAAAGCTAGGTACTGGCCTCAAGTCTCTGGGGCTCCGGATCTTTGCCCATATAAGGAGGGGTTTATTACATAGTCTCTAAGGACCTTCCAAGCAATGACACTCAGGGAATTTATGAAGCTATGATCTCAGAGGCAGCAGTGGGGAAGTCCTGAAATGTTACCGGTGTCTGACCTTGAAGAATTTACGGAGAAGTTAACAGATAAAAGCACCCAATATAGGATGAAGGACCAAGGAGAAGGCAGGAAGAAAGAGTAATGGAATATATGGTCATGGAAGGCAGATGGTTTTCAATGGATTGGGAATACTCAAAAGCGGTGGAGAAGTAAATAGTGTTACAGAAAAACGAAAAGGAAAGCTCAAAAATCAAGGCATAAGAAAAGGGGGCAAACAATACGCCATTAGATTTTGAGAGAGCCACAGCTGTCCTAAGCAGAGACTATATTTTCGAAGTTGAGGGGGAAATTCTTACTAGAGAGTCTGCAACGCCTTTAGTGGGAAAGGACTGAATAAATTCTGAGGTGACATTGAAAACATCCTAAACGAACCCTCTATCTGTCCCCCCTTGTTGTGGCTGAAGCTAGAATATGACCAAATAGACTTACTGTGGATTCAAGCACCGAAGGAAGGGAAACCACTTGAGTTGGAATCCCACCCCTGCCCCAGACTCACTGTGTGACCTTGGACAAATGCCTTAAGGATTCTGTAGCTCAGTGTTCTCATCTAAAAAATGGGGGCAAAAATAGGGGCCATACGATCTCTTTGTCAGAGAATGTTTGGGAGGATTGCACGACATTAACATAAGAACTAGTGTTAAAATATATAAGGGTAAAAAAACCAAACTTAAAAAAAAATGTATAAGGGCCTTAGAAGATCTGAAACATAATAATTCACAATTATTTATTAAATAATACAAATAATGAAATGCAAGCATGCATCCAATTCATCCCAAATGGACACCTGTTCTAATCCCTGTTAGCCATGATATTAATATGAAAATAGCTACCCAATGTGATTCTTCTCTAAGAAGGCAAAGGAAGAGCCTCTTGCTTTTTCTCCATCCTGTATTATACCAAGAGAGGCTGAGCTGCAGATCCTTATGTAGCGGGAAAAAGCCTAGAGATAGATTTACGAGTCCTGGGAAAACTAAAACATAAAATAAGGTGAGTTTCTTCCTCTCTCTAATAGTAGTGTTAAGAGTTTCGGGAAGTAGGGCCTGGCATGGTAGCCTAGCAGTTATAGTCCTCGCCTTGCACGCCCGGGATCCCGTATCAGTGCCAGTTCTAATCCCAGCAGCCCTGCTTCCCTTCCAGCTCCCTGCCTGTGGCCTGAGAAAGCAGTCGAGGACGGCCCAAAGCTTTGGGGACCCTGCACCCGTGTGGGAGACCTGGAAGAAGCTACTGGGTTCAGACTGGCTCAGCTCTGGCAGTTGCAGTCACTTGGGGAGTGAACCATCAGACAGAAGATATTCCTCACTGCGTATGTGCCTTGCAATAAAAATAAATAAATAAATCTTTTAAAAAAATGTTTTACATGAGCTAATTCATTTCATTCTCTCAACAACCTATGAGACCGGGCCTGACGGCGCTGGGATCCCATATGGGTGCCGGTTCTAATCCCGGCAGCCCCACTTCCCATCCAGCTCCCTGCTTGTGGCCTGGAAAAGCAGTCGAGGATGGCCCAAAGCCTTTTGGACCCTGCACCCATCTGGGAGACCTGGAAAAGAAGTTCCTGGTTCCTGGCTTTGGATGGGCTCAGCACAGGCCGTTGCGCTCACTTGGGGAGTGTATCATCGTAGGGAAGATCTTCCTCTCTGTCTCTCCTCCTCTCTGTATATCTGCCTTTCTAATAAAAATAAATCTGAAAAAAAAAAAACAACTTATGAGACCAAAACCACTGAAATATCATTTCTTTTCCTTTACCTTTTTTTCTCTCATATACAATAAATTATAAAGTAATCACAGATCATTAAACCTGTAGCAGTAGTAGTATATGATTCTTAGAAAAAAATGGACAAAGATCTAAATCAAAGTATGACAAACCTATATTTGCAGCAATACTGTTACACATTGGCATTTGTTTTTCATTTTTTGGTTTTGATTTTAAAAAGCTAGCCTCCACAAATAAAGGAGGACATTATGATTCTATGTCTGATGTATTTCACTCAAACTGATGCCCTGGAGTTGTAACCATTTGGATGCAAATTGCAGAATGCAGTTCTTTCTCATAGTTGTATAATATTCCATGGAGCCACTGTGCTACACGGAAGATTTCTTTCAAAGTTAGAAATAGAATTGCGGTGATTTGTCAGTCTCACTACTGGGGTATATACCTGAGAATGTGTTCATACACATTGTAACAAAGAGATAGCTTTGTTACCAGGCCTGAGATCAGGAGCTATGCGGCTGAAGCTAAGGCCCATGAAACCTCGCCTATCAATTCCAGCATCTGTAGGGATATCCTTGAACACCAGATCAGCTTCTGGAGCCCATGAGCTATGTGGGACCTAACCTTAGCCATAAATAACTGATGGACTGACACATACAGACTTGTTTTATTTATTTAATGTTAGTCATTTTATTTAGAAAGCTAAAGGATGGGCCCGGCATGGTAGCCTAGTGGCTAAAATTCTCACCTTGAACGTGCCAGGATCCCATATGGGCACCTGTTCTAATCCCGGCAGCCCCGTTTCCCATCCAGCTCCCTGCCTGTGGCCTGGGAAAGCAGTCGAGGACGGCCCAAAGCCTTGGGACCCTGCATCCATGTGGGAAACCTGGAAGAGCTCCTGGCTCCTGGCTTCGGATGGGCTCAGCACAGGCTGTTGTGGTCACTTGGGGCGTGAATCAGTGGACGGAAGATCATCCTCTCTGTTTTTCCTGCTCTCTGTATATCTGACTTTGCAATAAAAAATAAATACATCTTTAAAAATAGGAAAAAAAAAAAAAAGAACATCCAGCATTGTTTGGCTCCATTCATTCTTGACTCCTAGGCTACAATGGGCCACCCTGCCAAGATGATGACATGAAAGCAAAAATTGGAGCCTACCTACAGTGTATTTATAGCTAATACCTGACCTGTGCTTGACCAGTTCTATATTTTGTCCCTATGTTCTAAATGCTATATACCATTTAATCACCACGATAACCATATGAGGTTAAGGATGTCACTCCTATTTTATAGAAGAGAACATTTAGGCACAGAAACAGGTGGTAACTTGTTCGTGGTGACTTGCAATGACCCTAAGTGGCAACAGACCCAGAATTTTCATAAGAGCTTCTGTCTCAATTAGTCACTGTTACACTCAACAATGCCATACTTTCTTTCCTTCCTAATCAGAAGCTGTTCCTAGAGAGCCGTTCTAACCTCCATCTTTAACTTGAAACTCTGGCACTCCTGCCAAAACAAAACAAAACAAACAAACAAACAAAACCAGACTTCTTTTTTCCTCAGAAAAGGAATAGAAGCTGTTAGGCATTTAGTCCCCCCCCCCATGTCCTTTCTTTGCCCATATTTCTCTCTCTCTACCCACACTAGCCCTTCCTCTCACAGGAAGAGAACAAATCTCTTTTCCCTCCTAGGTCCCCTGTGGACTACACTCCCTCAACCATCTTGGCTGGGTGGCATTCAATTCTGCCCCTTTAGTGCTCAGCCCCTCCACCTCCAAACATATTCAAATCCCTCCAATGGCAGAATAAAAAAGCAAACCGATTTCTGGGTTGCCTCCTCCCAAACCAGCAGTCTCGTTTCTTTTCTCAGCCAAATTTCTAGCCGGAGTAGCCTCCACTCATGATTTCCATTTCTTAACTTTCCATTAGCTCCCTTAATCTATTGCAATCTGGCTTTTAGCCCCCCACGGGCTCTCCCTGAGGGCACAGGAGATCTCTTTAGTGCCAATTTTTAGGGAACATTTGCACTTGCTGTCTTATTTTTCTGTAGTTTTTTCCCATGTCCATGACTCTTTAGGAACACTGTTGTGGTAGGGGAAAAAAAAAAAAAAGCAGTCTCTTAGTTCCCACCTATTTCTTTAACTCCTTCTTCTCAGATTGTGTCACTGGAGAGTCTTGTCTCTTTCTCAATATTTGGTTGAGGCCCTCATGAAAATTTTATACACATGGACTCATTCATAAAATACTCATTGAAAGTACACATTCATTAGCATCCACACGAGAGCAACTCAGAGGATTTGCCGGAACTCCTCAAGGACATCGAAAAAGTATAAGTTCAATCCGTAAGGCAAGTCAGTGTGTATCTAGGCATGCCACGTCACATCGTTTTTTTTTTTTTCTTTGTTGAGTAAAATGGTTTTGGATTCTGAATTGGGACCTTGGATTTGTCATGCACTAGCTTAGGTGCTGTGTGACCTTGGACAAGTAACTTAACCTCTTTGCATCTCAGGCACCCTTAGC